TTCTGGGCTCTGGCCTTCAGAATCAGAAAACATTCTATTTGTGCATGTGGGGTGGTACCCAAGGATTGATGTCTTGGATCTGCTGCAACAGTGAAAGCTTAAATAAAGAACAAAATCTTCTAAGAGTGGAGAAAAGGACAAAAGTTGTCCATACAATGGACAAAAGTTGCCCAGATTATGCAGTAGCCATGGATCTACGCCAGGGGTGTCAAACTCGATTTCATTGAGGGCCACATCAGGGTCATGTTTGACTTTGGGAGGGTCAGGGGGCATGGCTGTGGGGACGGTGTGGCCAGAGGTCGTGACCAGCTCGATGTCACTCATGGAGGCTCCGTTTTCAGCTGTGATGCCCTCCTGCAGCCCTCTACCAGCAAAAATGGAGCCCCCAAGTTCCATTTTCACTGGCACAGGGCTGGAGGCTGTCGCAGCTGAAAACAGAGTGCGGGTGGGTCACGCACAGCTCTCCCCAGCTCCATTTTCACTGGCAGAGGCACTGCAGGCCCATCCTTCGCTATTTCCAGGGCAACCCCATGGGCCAAATCTAAGCACCCCACAGGCCAGATCCGGCCCATAGGCCTTGAATTTGACACCCCTGATCTACACTAACCATAGAGATAGTCTTTGGGACCAGAATTTCCATAATTAAGTGGTATGACTGCACTGTTCAGCACCAAGAAGCCCTGTAGTGCTGGCTGCAATCATTAACTGAATCCCACTGTTGTAGGGCGAGGCAAATTCCTGACAGCTTCCCACAACCAAAGTCAGTTCAGGGTGGTAGGCAGGTAAGTGGCTGCTGCTGATCAGGCAGGGGAGAATGAGAATGTGCAGAGGGAGGTACCAAAAGAATTGGAGAGGGTATGCGAGGGTGCAGTGCAAGTTGGGGGGGAGAGTTGTGTGAGAATGTGGCGAGTCAGGGAAGGTGCGCAAGTGTGTGAAGGGAGGCACGAGGAGCACAGCATGGGTCAGCGTGGGTGCTGGAAACACCATTCTTTCAATGCTTTCAAAACTTCAATCACTGAATAAACAGTTTTAATAAACTGATTAATAAACTCATTCTTAGAGCTGAATAGTAGTTGAATAATTTACCAGAACAATTACAGAAAAGAAAATTCTAAAAAGCTGCTAAATGAGACAAAAAAGAGAGGAATTTACTGTAGCCTCATCTTTATACAGTGAATACAGTTCCTGCCAAAAGTTCCCAACGCTTGTGAACTTTGTGGAGCACAATGAAAGATTGTGAACTTTGTGGAACACAATCACATACAAAACCCATACATGTGAAACACAAAGCTTATTATGAAAAAAAAAACATATATTTTCATAATTCCCAACATTATGACCAAGACAGTGCCTGATATACTTGTGTTTTTAAACTTATTCCATCTTGATGGCCAGAATGCATATTCAATCTTAACTTTAGATCTACATTTCTATCATATTTGATAGAAAAACAATATTAAAACAAAGAAGCAAAAACACACAGAGACAAAACCACTATTTCCCTTTCCACACAATTATTTAAGAATCTTTATTATTGAAAATTTACTCGAGCAGATTCCAGAAAGATTTATTTGATCTTATCTAACCTGATTTTAACAGCTAGTCAAGATGCACCCTATAGTAAGAGATTTGCTGAAATGCTCACTATTTTATCCTTTATCTGATTTAACCATTTTTGCATATCTGAAATACAATGAGTAATTTAACCTCCGGAATAAAATTTAAAAAATTAATCATTACAGAAAATATGTCATTTCATTATGTCAAAGATTTCATTTCAGCTGTCAAATAAAACTGTATAAAATTACCTTCTCTTATTTTAAATGTTACTAAAAATATAAAAAAAAACATCTATATTACTGGTATTTTATCTGTTAAATCAGGAATTTAAAATGTGTCTTGAATGCAAGATCACCCCTAAGGCTCACATTAATTGCTAAGGACTACACTCTAACAGTAGGACAAGACAGAGAGGTTTTCACATGAATTATGCATCTGCAAGGCTGAAGGCATACATTTTGCCCTCTAAAATCTTCTATCCCTGGTACAAATAGGGGCCCATATTTTTGCTTCCCCTTGTAGTTGGGCCTAATAATCATTTTTGGCTGTGCTGTGTTAATTACATGTGAATAATTGGTACTATCATTTTCGACGCTGTACTGTAATGGATAGGTGTCTGGAAGGTGAGAGATAAGGAGGGACAGTGACAAAATTGGTATGACACAACCAACTCTCATCCCTAAATATCTGCATGAAATGTAATGGAACAAATATGAAAGGGCTTTAGCTATAATGAAAAAAAAAACAGAGACCTACAAAAGCTGTAACCCATTCCTGTTAGTAGACGAGGTGTCAATTTTTCTCCCATTTGCTTAATCAACTGCCCAACCAAAGAGGTAGTTGAGTCATTCTTCTTCTTCTTGTGCCATATCTGTCATTGGACATTGGTGATCATGTTGGCAATTCTATTTTTATCAACACGAAAAAGTGCTGCTGAGTTTTGTCTAAACCAGTCCCTTAGATTTTGAAGCCATGATGTTTTTCTCCTGCCTGGACCTCATTTGCCTTCAATTTTTTCCTGGAGGACTAAGTGAAATATGTCACATCACACATCCAAAATATTCAAACATTCCATTTTGTGAGTCATTATAAAGACCTTCAATTACTTTAAAATACTATTTACTTGAATAATAAGACCGCTAATAATCTTAGAGAAATAATATGGAATCAATAAAATAATGTATCCAGTAAAATGCAAGAGAGGTAAAATTTACCTTGTATGAAATTGTACACCCGACACTAGGTTTTTAATTTAATTTAATATACAATTTCTGCTCAACTCTTGGGAATTTATCATAAATTTATTATAAAACAAAAACAGGAAAAACTAATTTTGAGGATAGTCTTCTGAGTCACACTTTCTAAAGATATTTTTCTTCATACACACACACACACACACACACACACACACACACACACAAATACTGTACTCATCCCATTCAATATATTATATAAAAAGCAAGAAAGGAATAAGAAACAGAAAGACAAAAATTAAGACAAGTTAAGAAAAATAAAATATAGCTAAAGCCACTTCATTGTATCTCTTCTTCTCTTTCTATCCTTTCACCTACCAACACATTCCAACAGCTCTGCATTTTGTTTGCCTCTTTTCATATTAACAATTCCTTACCTCCCTCACTATATTCTTTGCAATTATCTTTCTCAGTATACATTCTATGCTATGTCTTTCTCACACTCACTTTTCTAGCATCAGTACAATAATAAATTTCCTATCCTAGAGCTGTTCACTTCATCATTCCACCCAACATAATTTTTATACATTCCACTAGTATACATTCCACACATTTTTCATTCTTCTCCTAATTGTTTCCATATCCCCTCCATCCTTTCTATAGACATTAATCTAATAAAAGAGAATATATATGGCTCAGAGTTAAACTGTAAAGTCCTTGGTGTTCTCTGAGCTTAATTGGTTGCTTGTAGCTGTTTCATTACCCAACTAGATAACATCATCAGCGCTACTGAGTATGGGTTTCACTGTTTATATACAGTAGCTGGTGTTAATAGGGGTATGTTTTTCTTCCTCAATAGTTCTTTGATCAGAGTATTGTTTTATTTTTGTTTGTTTGTTTGGTGTTAATCCTACTTGATTGTTGGCTGCTGAAGGAGATGTGTCCTGATCTTTTTGTTTCCTTCTCAGAAAACAAAAGTTGCCTTTTACAACACTTTATGTTGTAGATGATTCTAGAGAAATTAATCTAACAAAGAAGTAACAAATTTTACTGGACAATGTTGAGACTGATCTGAAAGTGGATTTAAAAATGACAGGCTACAAGAATGATATGGAAAAAGATGGTACACTGAATGTACAAATGAAACCAATTGATGTCTTCATAATTAAAAGAGATGCACAAATAACAAATCTTTTCATATTAATAAGACTGACATGGATTAATTACCTATTTTGGGGTTACAGAAGAACTTGTTAAAAATTTGAAGAATGTTGTGCAAAGGGACAAAAGGAGTCAAAAGAAATTCTAGGACATTATTTGAAGGGATAAAAAATCAAAATTATTAAAAGTAAACGGAAGGAATATAAAGCTGGTTTATTTGATTGAAGTTAAAATAGGTATATTGTTAGCTCTGATAACTCTTAATGGATTTTGCTGACCAGAACTGAACAATGAAGCATTAAGGCATGTTTACAGATAAGAAATGGAATACGGGACGAAGAGATCATTTGTTATATTTTATGAGAGGTTAATAAGTTACTAAAATTGTTCATAGGAGAGATAATTTCTTTAAATATTGTTTTCATTTTCTTTATTGTATTCTTATTTTCCTTTTCTTTTTATTTTCTGCATTTCTTTTACTTTTCTTTTTCTTAGTTTGCATTATTTTAATCTTTTTAAATTGTAATGTTTAATAAAATTAAATTGCTTCCCCAAATTTCTGATCTTTTTATTATCATAATTCAATGAGGGGAAGCATGAAACTACCACCAATTTAGGAATCCTTATTATGATACATACAACAATCTGAATACCACTAATACCACTTTTTCACAAACATTTTACAATCTTTTTTCATAAATAAATTATATTCCCATGGCTCTACTTATCAATTCCACTCCAATATGAATCCAACTTCATTCAAATCAACCACATCCTTTTCCTTTATCTTAGTTTTCGTAAGTGCATGTGTTACTTTTTTCATCCATTTATTTTTTTTAATTAATTCTTATTCTTTATCATATGTTCTTTTCACATTTCAAGTTCATAATCTTCCATATGCCGTGGTTATTAAGATGTGGACTCACAGATATTGACTTGCACCCGCCCATCATGGCTCTGATCAACTACTGCATGCATTTATAAGTATATATGCTTAAACGAGTTTGAACTATATTTCATTTTTCTGCGTGTATGATACATTTAATTTCTTTTTCTTACTGCATCTCATTCCTTTTCTGTACTCACCATATCACTGGTTCCCCTAAAAGGGAACAGCGCGCTAAGTATGTATGTTGCACTTAATCATTTGACTGAATGACTGAAAGACAAGGTATAAGATTTCAGACTAAATATATCTGGTTCAGATTTTATTATGCAGTTTATACATCACAAGAGTATTAAACACAAAAGGTATGCATGCTTCGGTAATAGTTTAATTTCAGGGAGAGAAAGCACAGCTATGAATCCTTTTAAGTATTTGCCCAACCAATCATTTCTGAGGAAAGCAAGAGGTTTTATTTTAGCTGAGCAACTTCTCAGATTCTGGTCCTGTAATGGTAACAGGGCAAACTATAAAAAGCTTTTTTTAAAAAAAAAAGGAGAAAGGATTTTAGATAAACAGCAATGATATCAAAAGATGCTACTAAAACCATAACTGATTTGTAGATTTGCATGTTTCTAGCTATTACATTTCATCGCAAAAAGACATACTTGCTATGGAGATGAACATTGCAGATGATCTACAAGCAATCTAAGAATGTCCTGCATTGCTTGGGATAGAAGATAATTCCCTCCAGATTATGCCTCTGCTGCACAGAGAATAACATTATAATATCACCAAAATTAGATCCTCTCAAATGCTGACAACCTACATCCTGAAAGCACTGAGTCTAGAATTAGTCCAAAAGATGTCCCTACCTTGCAACTTTCAATGTAGCTGAAGGGTCATTTAATTTTTTTCACATGGCAGAGTGGCCACCTCATATTTCATATGGCCTCTTCTCATTTAGCTCCTTCTCTCTGGAAATGACTCTCCCTTGAACTACATTTGGAATCTGATTTCATAAAGTTAAAAAGGATTCTTTTCTTTTTTCAGAAAGAAGCTGGAAGAATTGGACTTGAGCGACGCCCAACGAATAATTTAGATTATCGTAGAAATAACATTCACTGAGCTGACTGCTTTATTTATGTATACACATGTTTATCACTTGTTGAATTTTTATTGTTATTTCCTATACCGTTACTGTAGTCCTCAGCTTATTGTGGCAATTGGGATTGGAATTGCTATTGCTCCATGACATGGTGGTTAAACATTAATATCATATGATCATGTTGTTAGCAATGGCAAATTCTAGTAGTCCAGTTTGCTGTCTGGACTACATGAATTGTTAAGTGAAGTCCTCACATCACTATGATTTCTGACTTCCCACTGGCTTACCCATTGACTTTGCTTGTAGGAAGCCAGTAAGGAACAATGGAAATAACAAGAATAGTCAATAAAGCTGCAACCTTGACATGTATGGGAAGACAGGAGAACAGAGGAGATACATCTTAAGTATCTTACGCCACCATCAAACAGAGTAAAACAGTTGAATAAAAGAAGATGTTTTTCCTTCAGAAGCAGTGGATGGTTCAAAAGAGAGGAGGATAAGTGTAGAGGCCCATCAAGACCAAGTGCAATGTACAAAAGAATTCAAGAACTCAACATGCTGGCCATTAAGGGAAACAGAAGAAATGTCAGAGAGAGGGGACTTAAGATAGAACTGTTGATGCATAGCAGTAATAGTACAAAGCTTAGTATATGCGTAATTGTCCTAGAGTAATAGGTTCTATAGTAATAGGTAATATTAAGAGTCTATTGAATAATAATAGTGTATAATACAAACTTCAGAGTAATAGTAATTGAAGAGAATACAGCAGAACCTCTGGTCACGAACGCTTCTGATCATGACCAAATCCTGTTTCAACCAAAAAAATTGACAATTTTTTGTGTGGCCGATTTCCCCTTCTGTGCCATTTTTTTGTAAGCACCAAATTTCCAAAATTAGGTTCAGGTCACGATCAAATTTGTTCCAAAGTTATGGAACAAATTATGGTCATGACCAGAGGTTCTACTATACAGAGTAATAGCAACTGTCACAGTAACAGAATAGTGATAGCAATAGAAAAGAATATAGGAAGCACACATATATCACTTTGGTACGTTTGTTTTTACATCCCTCACCCCCAGATCTCCAATCCTCATAGGAGTTATGAAGAAACCATCTGTCCAGAATCCAGTGCTTTTTGTGTCTCTCTTGGGTTAATCCAATTGAGCATGGTTTGAAAAAAAGACCTATGACAGGGATGCTGTGACACGACTGTGAGCAAGCTGCGACGGCTAGAACTATGAGGACCCGCATTCAGCAATATTGCATCTTTAAATAGTCACTGAATGAATAGCCATAACTCAAAGAATACCTATGCTGCATTTAGATATAAACACATATCAACCCTCCCACCTAAAAATAGCTAATGTTTGCTATGTTTTTACTTGGATTTCAAACACTTTCTAGAAGTTTATTCATCTTAAGGCTTATAGGGTAAAGTAAAATTATAAATCTCAAACTAAGATTAATAACGTTCTTGTTTCAAGATGATGAGACTTCATATTAATTAGCTAATTTTAGAAGACTCCGGGGGGGGCTATACAAAATGGTTTGGGAGTTATACATGGCCCTATATGGCCTCAGTTTATGCATGCATCCCTGTTTTATTAATTCAAATGTTCACAACACATGCATTCCTAGGTTATTAAATTTAAAATATTTGCAAAATAATGTTATCTTTGAACAATAAAACAGCAGTTTATTCCTGTCGTAAGGGAGTGACACTTTCCCGTTTAATGTGCTCAATCTCCCTTTCTTTGAATTATATATGCGACTCTGTCTTCTTTAAAAAGGGGGGGAGAGTATAATTTTCCCTTATAGGAAAACATTTTCCTTATGCAACAGATATCATTATCCCCAGTACTCTTCATTTATTAGCAGAAGATCACTGGTCTGTCATTGGACAAAAGATTTAATAAGAACATTAATGTCAATGCCTGGAATGCACTACCTGACTCTGTTGTTACATCCTCTAACCCCATTCCTTTAACCTCAAACTAACCACTATTGACCTCATCCCATTCCTAAGGTCTGTAAGGAGTGTGCATAAGTGCACCATCATGCCTACCGTCCCTGTCCTATTGTCCCCATTTATTCGTAGCTATTTCCTGTATTCTTACTCATGTTTATACTTATATCTATTATTGTGTAAATGACTGACAAATCAAAATAAATAAATAAAAAAAACCATGATCCAAAATCTACTTTCTCTCAATATTAGCATGCTTTCTAATATGTGTGCACGTGTAAGAGTGAATGCATTGATTAGTGGGTCACAATACCTTAAAATCTGGTAAAAATCAGGTGGATATATCAATTGATCATCATCTGCCTGGATTGTGGAAATTTCCTTTTACAGCTGATTAAATCTGCAATGGAATACATAATCAAATCACTATTACAGTAATAAGATTTTGCCCTTAGCAAAATAATACAGGTTGTACAATACTAATAAATCTCCAGCTTATTAGAACCCAACTGCTTAAGCTTAACCATCATAAAGCTTTTTTATTTGCAAAATAAGTTTGAATTATATGAAAAGTACATTCTAATCATATGTAGGGAGAACGGAATGCACCTCAGGATCTACTTAAAGACTATATACCCGTGATGGCGAACCTATGGCACGCATCCCAAAAGTGGCACGCAGAGCCATTTGTGCTGGCACGTGAGCTGCAGGCAAACTTACCTCACTGCGCACGCGCATGCCTCACAGCTGATTGGGGGGGGTTGGTTGGTTTGAGGCCTTTTTCGGCCTCCCAGAGGCTTGGAAAAGGCCTCTGCAAGATTTCTCAGGCTGGACCCGTTTCCTCTGGAAGTGACAGAACAGGCTTATAATTCAGCCTGAAAGGCCTCGCAGGGGCTTTTTCCAAGCCTCTGGGAGGCCGAAAAAGGCCTCAAACCAGCCGAAAAATCAGTTGTGAGGTGCAGTGCAGGTAAGGGGGCGGCGAGGGGGGGATTGCGTGTACATGCATAGGGGGCGTGGGGGCGCACATTGCATTCTGGGTGCTGGCACACGAGTGCGGTCGCACTGGCGCACTCACAATTTTTGGCACAGGAGCCCCAAAAGGTTAGCCACCACTGCTATATACCGTTAAAATACTACTACTAACCAATCTTGACCAAGTTCATAATTTTTATTTTCTTGGCATCAATAACAGAATGTCGGGAAACTCTCAGAGCAGCCCAACAGAGCAGCATCTGCAGGGGGCAGGCAAGAGTGGGTCAGAATGGTGAAAAGGATATCATAATGCAAGCTCTTCCTTTGTGATGCCACATGCATGCCCAAAAGGGGCAGAACCTGTGCCACCATACCACCCTGTTGTTTTTCAAGATTCAAAGCGGACAGATCTTGAAAAAACTACCAGCTCAATGTACAGTATAAGCAATATGAAACATTTTAATTTGTAGTAATAGCTTGATATCAACAATAATCTCGGTGTTTTGGGAAAGACCCACCTATAGAGCAAACTCAAAAGCATAGATTCTGAGCAATCACTCTGTCCTTTCAGTCAATGGCAGTTTATTTACTTAGGAAGCATATGCAGCTATTCTTCTAAGCAAATAACTCTTGGTAGTTCACAATTTAAAAACAGATAAAAAATAACATACAGATTCAAAAAAATATAATAAATACAAAATTCAAAAGCTGTCCTAATCTTCAATCACAAATTCATCAAACCAGGTTCCACCAACAACCTTGTACCTATGGGGAAAAAATCATTTTTTAACAGACACATTATTGTCAGTAGCAGATTCATCTCCATCAATATAAATTTTAACTTCCAGATAACATTAAAACACAGACAGAAATGTTAATGCCATAATCTGTATGCCCACATTGTAGTTTTGCTTCTTAATTAAACTATCTGAATATATATATCCAAACTGCAAAAAATGCACATAGAAATATTATGCAGTGATTTCATTAAAAAAAATTTCCTTAATTTACTAAAATTTCAAACAGTAATTGAATGCATATATAATTTAATGTTCAACATTATCTGTATTTTAGTAAATCTGTTTAAATTCCATAACAAATTGTGTACAGAAAAATTGAAGTTAAAATTTGGATTTATTAACTAAATTTTGCTTAATTAGATAAACTGACATGCTCATTTTTTTCAGTTCAAAAATTATTAGAGTTAATAGTGTGACAAGGCCTCACAAAAGACATAAGAACATCGGCTATTAAAAATAAAGATGTACATGACTAAAGGTTACTATTTCACATTTCAAGAATAGATTGCCAAAAGCATATAAGTTGAATAAAATGTAAAATACATCTGCAGACAACCAATAGGAGGAGCTAATGTTTACAAAGCACATGGATTTTACAAATCTACAAAGTCTATTGTTAAAACAAAACACAGAAGATGCGCCTTTTCATTTATTCATAAATATTTCTTAACAGTTCTTCACTATTATGAAGCATTTATATTTATCTGTTTAATGTTAATTTACTACCACCACCACCCAAAAAAACCAAACAAACAAAAAAGGAAAACGTAATTTCAGTTTTAGTAATGTAGGTGCCACAGCACTAACCTTAAAAAAGAGATTTGTTCATTTACAGGTACAATGTCACAGCGCTATGCACAATGTAAACAAAAGACAATGGAATGCACCCCAGGCTAAGGATGTCAGCATTTTTCAAACACCTTTCTGGCTGTTGCATTTTATAGTGATGCAATTTGACCTACATTTCAGTGGCCAAAGACAGAGGGAGATAGAGAAAAGGAGATAGAAAAGGCAGCAGCGGTGGTGTTGGTGGTGGTAGCTGTGGTAGGAAGGTGTGTGCGAGACACACACACACAGAGTGAGAGACAGACAAGTTGACAGTGGGGAAGAGACTGAAATTGTTTATCCACCAACCCACTAACTGGGGTTTTAACTGATGCTACAAAAGATATAAAGTAGGAGCAGAAATCTTTTTTAAAAGTTTCAATGATAATAAAATATTCTACTTACATAATGTCACAAATATAACACTACAAAAGTTGAATGCATAAAATAAGGTCAGGGTATTTTATTTGGGGACAAAAGTAAATACCATCACTAAACCAAGCAGACTAATCCTAGAATAAATGCTGTAATGTGGGGTTCTTATCAATTTTTCACAAACATTATCATTAACACTTGCATAATTCAAATCTTATTTATTTACTGGAGATTTTTTTTTTTGCTTGCATAGAAACATGTTCACATTTCTACACCCACTATAAAGGCCATCTATAGTGGCTTTTCTTACAGCACCTTCCCAAAGGCAAACTGAGCTCAAACGTATTGTAGCTCAAGAGAGCTATTGGTGTTCTCAACTTTGCAGGACAATAATCTTCATGTAAAGGAACTGTATGATATAGGATCTCAGTGTTGGGTTTTCCCTTGTTCATCCTATTGGTTATAGAATATGATCAAGCAAAACTTGTAAGAAAACCAAGGATAATGGAAATAGAGCCAGTTAGATCTGAGCAGTACTTCAAACTTCTTCAGTTAAGACAGACTTCCATATATTATCCCCTTCCTTCAAATTTCCAACTATTGGAAATCCCAAGCCACAAGGCTTTTTACTTTGGTTCAGTGCCCTCACTTTTGCTGGTTCTTGAAGGCAGATATACCACACGCCCTTTGGCGGAGAGTGAGTACCCATGTTGCACCAAACAGGGTCAAAACTGTAACACGTCTTCCTCTTCAGCCTATTTTAGAGAGCTAATCATAATGATCATTTACTCTGTTCCTGCGTGGGTGTCCTGGCTATACAAGCCATTGCCATGCATATTGTCTGCTTTTAGCTAAGAACCTTGCTATTAGGTACAGATAATTCTCGACTTGCGATCACAAGTGAGCCCAACATTTCTGCTGCAAAGCGAGACATTTGTTAGGGGAGTTTTGCCCCGGTTAACAGATAATCAGAGTTGGAAGGGATCTTGTAGGTCATCTAGTCCAACCCCCCACCCAAGCAGGAGACCCTACACCATTTCTGACAAATGGCAGTCCAATCTCTTGAAAGTCTCAAATGATGGCACTCCCACAACTTCCGAGGACAAGCTGTTCCATTGGTTGATTGTTCTCACTGTCAGAAAGTTTCTCCCTATTTCCAGGTTAAATCTCTCCTTGTTCAATTTCCATCCATTATTCCTTATCTGGCCTTCAGGTGCTTTGGAAAATAGCTGGACCCCTTCCTTTCAGTGGTAGCCCCTCAAATACTGGAACACTGCTAGCATGTCTTCCCTGGTCCTTCTCTTCACTAAATTAGCCATGGCCAGTTCCTTTAACTAATCTTCATGTTTCAGTCTCCAGTCATCTAATCATCCTGGTTGCTCTTCTCTGTACTTTTTCTAGAGTCTCAACATCATTTTTATAATGTGGTGACCAAAATTGGATGCAGTACTCTAGGTGTGGTCTTATTAAGGCTTTATAGAGTGGTACCTCACTTGATTTTGATTGTATCCCTCTGTTAATACAACTTAGGATTGCATTAGCTTTTTTGGCAGCTGCTGCACACTGCTGGCTCATATTTAGCTGATTGTCCACTAAGACTCCAAGATCCCTCTCACAGTTACTGCTATTCAGCCTGGTTTCACCCAGTTTATATATGTACTTTTGGTTTTTCTTGCCTAAGTGTAGGACTTTACTTTTCTTTACATTGAATTTCATTTTGTTAGATATGGCCCAGTGTTCTAGTCTGACAAGATCCATCTGGATCTTGAGCCTATCTTCTTGGGTGTTAGCTATTCGTGCCAGCTTAGTATCATCTGCAAATTTGGTAAGTTCCCCTTCTATTCCCTCATCTAAGTCGTTAATGAAGATATTGAAGAGTACTGGGCCTAAGACGGAACCTTGTGGCACCCCACTGCATACTTCCCTCCATGTAGACTTTGACCCATTAG